ATCTTAATTCTGTTGTCTTTAATTACAATCCTTCAATTATTTTCTCTTTAACCCTAACCATAATTTCAACTTCACATAAACAAAAAAGGCATATACATTTCCTACATATATGAGAGAAGAAACAAGATGATGATGATGAGAAAGGAAGAATGCATAGTCACAAGAGAGAATAATGAAGAGGGTGATAATAGGTCAAAGTGTTACAATATATATATATATATATAAAAGGAAAAATGGAAAAAATACATATGCATCACTACTAAAACTATGACTTGTTGATTTTTACAAATTTTTATGTTCTTTGTAAGATTAACATAAATGTAAACTACAAAAAAAAAAATTAAACCTTTTATATCAGTTAAATTATAAGATGGTAAAACACACTCTATATAGACTATAAAAGAAACTGATATAACAAACTGGTTTTATTTTATTTTTTCAAAAAGTCATTGTCATTATTCATTTTTCTCTCAACAAAGATAAGAAAATGATGAATGTCTTATGGTAACAATATTCACAGTGGTGAATACCGAAATAGTTTATGGTAGCAGAAAAGAAAGAGAAGGAGAACTTAAGAAGAAGGAGAAAAAATAAATAAAACACAAAAATAAACTTTCATTTTTTAGATAGATAAGATAAGACTTTCACTACTATAATAATTTATATTTTGTGGATTTTTTTTCTTTACAAATATTTCATACATCTTTCAAAATTTACATAGCAGCCAACTCATTTTTTCTTGAATCTCTGTAATTTATTTTTTATTTTTACAGAAAAAGTATTACAATTTTAATAGTGTTTCCATCGTATAAGTTCAATTTAAATCCATCTAGAAAGATATCGATTTTAAACTAAACGAATATGGAAAATACTTTTATACACCTGTTAAAAGTTTAGCTGACATAAAAAAAATTATGTTAGTCCAAATTACAATTGATATCATTATTTTATTTTATTTATAAATTTATAAGTGAATTATAGTTCTTATTAAATAGCATTCTTTTATAATACTAATAATAATAATAATAATAATAATTATTATTATTATATTATACTTATACATATTCAATGTGATTATATAATATTTAAAGTTATATTTGTTAACCATATTAATAATATATATCGTGAAATCTCAGTAATTTAATTATATATAATATTCTTTAATATTATATATTTATAGAATATTTGATAAATCATGTATGATATCACAATATAAATATTACTTATTAATTATCATATATATTTATAAATTATTATATTTATTGATTATTTTATATTCTCTTTATATTATTAGTTTTATCACATAAGTTACATAGTCTAAATATAAATACATATAATATTTTACTAGGAAAGACACACTTATTTATACTCTTTCTCTTTTATTTAAAAGACTCAAACTTTCTTAGTGATTTGAGTATCAAAGAGTATTTTACGTCTGAATATTTTTATAGATTCTAATACTCAGAAGTATACATCATCTTTAATTCAGATCTCATTGTGTATTCGAACATCCATTTAGAATCTTGATAATAATAATAATAATAATAATAATAATAATAATAATAATAATAATAATAATAATAATAATAATAATAATAATAATAATAATAATAATAATAATAATAATATTATTATTATTATTATTATTATTATTATTATTATTATTATTATTATTATTCAAACATGATTAATTAATTTAGTCATTTTTTTATAAATTATAAAGTCTAATTTTGTGAATAAATATTAAATTTCGCTCTCAAAAATCCCGTGACACCCTACCTCACTGGTAAAAAGACTTGTTAAATAACACTTTTACACTACTAAATTTTTATAACTATTTCTGTTTGATCCATACAGTGTAGATGATGCAATGAAGTACTTTTTACTCGTAATGGCTAAACCTATTGATTATCTTTACTACGTAATAGTTAACTAAAAAAGAGGAATTACTGGTAATGGCTAAACCTATTAATTATTTTTACCAGTAATAGTTAACTCATAAAAAAGGAAGAGAATTGAATTTCTTGTGAAGTTATAATAAATTAGAGTTGTTCATGAATTTTGTGTGTCGGGACGTTTGGGCCTTCTTCTGTTATCGGTTCTGGTCTTCAGTTTGTGTTTATTCGTGTTGGTTTTCAATTTATACTAGATTGTTTTGATTTCGGCTCGAACTTGCCAGACAAATTTATTTTGGTCTTCGATCTTGATTAACTCGTCTTTAGGTTCAATATGAGTTAATATGTATTTGTCCTCGATAATAACTTTTACTCATATTCAAAGTATTAATTTTTAAGAGTTTAAAACTGCTTTAGCTATTACTCTAACCCAATACAAAGTTTTGGAGTTGGAATTTTTTTAAAAAAAGGAGCTTAATAAAGAGAGTCTAGTACTTATCCATCGACCATTAGCCAAATTCACACCTCGAAATAGACATTGACTTTGGCATTGGTATAACATTTATGGGCAATTATTTTGTGAATTGGAAGTGAGAGAGCTTGGTCATATTTGGAGGCCTGAAAACCAACTCTAACTGTACAAGTTGAGTTGGGCATTTAATGTTTTCTCTTTTTCTACCTATATATACATAAGGTAAGACAAACACATACTCTACTGCTACCACTGAGGATAGGATCAAAAACCAAAACAATTATTCCTTCCAAAATTTACTGTGCCATTTGGTCGAGTTTTTATATGGTCCCAAGATTATTATACTTTAAGGAATGCTCAAAATCTTCAATCATACCGTGCCAGTTTTTGCTTCCATAAACAATTTAAACTTTACATACATCAGTGTGGGAGTAATAATGGCAGGTTAATTAAATATACAAACATTAAATGAAGCTCTAAATAAACAGTAACTTTATAGGTTATAATTAGAGAAATTGGGTAGCACCAAAAAGTCAGTAGCTCATTTTAGTCTATAAACTAGTTTCATACAATAAAATTTCCATAAATTTACCAATTAGTTTATCAATTAAATCTACCAATCACTTTAATCTAATATAAATTAACTTATCAACTAACATATTAAGAACTAGCTTATGAACTACTCTTCTCAAACACATACATAAGTTTTTCTCTTTAATAGAAAATAAAAAGGAAATCTAAGCACGATTTTACAGTGATCCTTTATTCATATTGTAATTGTAAATTAAATAATTCTTCCATTTTAAATTGCTTATTATTCTTCAAATAAAGATTGTAAAGTTTTCTTTTTACAATGTGACCCAAGATAATAAAAAATAAAATAGATCGAGATGAAGTTAATTCAAATCCAATACATCTTAATCTCTTCAAAGTTTTGAAATTTTCGATCCACAAACACAGTGTTATTTTATTAGGTGTTTAAATAATTTATCTTCTCTTTTGTCTTTAGTTCTTAATTTTATTTGTTTGAAAACACTTTTTTCATTGTACGATTCTTTATTCCCTCATATCGTTCAATACCCTCTAACTTCATTTCACTTTACAAAGTATTTTTCTCTAACAAATTAAGCAACAATATTTATTATAAATTTTCAATTATATAAATATTTTAATTTTTAATTACTTAATATTATATAATTGTTATTGTATGCTTTATTTTAAAATTCATGTAATTATAATTTACTTTTTAAAATTAGACATTGAAAAAGATGTATCTCCTATTGATACTGAATATTGATAACATTATATTTTTGTTGTTATGATTTTTTTTTTACAATTAGGACACGAAGACACTCTTGTCGGAGACATGGATTAAACTAAGATTTCATATTCAACAGATATGCGGAAACAGGTGAATATGAATTTTGACGTAAAAAAAATTGAGAGATACAGTGAAAGACGCTGTCCAGTCCCGTCCCATCTTTTCCTTTCCTATATGGTAAAGAAAAACAAAATGAGAGAAATAAAAATGAACATACAGTGAGGCAATACTGTGGGTCTCTTTCTGTTATCTGATTACTTTAATTTAGTGATATATATATGGATGCCAGGCATACAGATCTGGAGATCAAAATAGAATTCCACTGGGCATTAATAATGCATCTGCCGAGCACATGCACTGCTTCACCAAAGCACTTCTTTCTTCCAAAACTTTGATGAATCTTTATACAACACTTCATTTTTCTGTGAGAGGACTTCGCTTGGGCCCATGATCTTTACTATACGTACGTTGCCTAACGTAGATTTATAATTAGTTTTCATTTCAGACTACTGTATTCATTGAATCTTGCCTCAGATATTTTTCAACTGTGAAAGCCACATAGTGTGCAATTCACTGCCACTGGTCGGCAAATGCTTACAAAGTGCAATAAAGCCCAACTAACCCACTAATTTTAATAATGCTCAAATTTAATTTATATGATTTCGGACACTCCTTTCACAAGCTAACTAATTGCTATACTATATCGGATTATGCAGAAAAACGTGTAATTATCTTTCCTCAATCTAATCTAACTTATGGAGATTAGATCAGAAACATCCATGCAACTTCTTTTCATTCAAACACTGCTATGTATATATATATATATATCACGCATCATAACTTATCAAGTATACTTGTGTGTATTGCACATAACAATTAATGCTCACATGATGAATGGGAACAGAGGACAAATTTCATGCACCCACATAAAGACAAGTTGCAGAAATAGAACTAGAATTTGCTCATTGAATGAACTACGAGAATGGCATATAGGCAATGCAAAGCATGGCCAGTGGAAGAAGGACTATAGTCGACATGATAAGTAATAGTAAAAATTTATTATTCAGCTATGGTCATGTGGGATTTTCAAATTGGCGCTTGTTTCATTGTGTCAGTCGAGTAGTACAAAGTTTTGAAGGGATACACATTACTTCTTCGGTGTGAAATGAAGGTGCGCCAAACAGGCGATGAATAATTGCAAAACGGTGTGCATTAAATGCCGTAAACAGTTAGTGGTTGAAACCAATTAAAGTCACCGAGAGGGTCCAGCTTGTGATTGCGATATGGATCCTCTGGGTTATAAAAGCACTTCATACTTCTACAAACTTCACCAACGAGGATTGAAGAGTGTCAGTGAGTGAGTAGCTAGCAATTAAAAATGTTGCTAAGGAACAAAAGATTAGGTTTGTTGTTATTGCTTTGTGTTCATGCCTTTGTTGCCAATGTGGTTGCAAGGGATGTAGTAACTGTGAAAAATGATGAAGAAAAGAATGTAGGGTTTGGGAAGGGAGGTGGGTTCGGTGGTGGAATTGGTGGAGGAGCAGGAGGAGGGGGAGGGTTCGGAGGTGGATTTGGTGGAGGAGGAGGAGCCGGTGGAGGGTTTGGAGGTGGAGGAGGGTTTGGCGGAGGAGGAGGAGCAGGTGGAGGAGGTGGTGCTGGAGGAGGGTTTGGTGGTGGAGCTGGGGGTGGACATGGGATTGGAGGTGGAGCTGGTGGAGGGTTTGGTAAAGGAGGCGGGATAGGTAAAGGTGGAGGACTTGGTGGTGGTGCTGGTGGAGGGTTTGGAAAGGGTGGTGGCATTGGAGGAGGTGCTGGTGGTGGTTTTGGAAAAGGTGGTGGTGTTGGAGGAGGAATTGGCAAAGGTGGAGGTCTAGGAGGCGGTGGTGGCTTTGGAAAAGGTGGTGGTGTTGGAGGAGGAATTGGCAAAGGTGGAGGTTTAGGTGGTGGTGGTGGCTTTGGAAAAGGGGGCGGTGTTGGAGGAGGAATTGGCAAAGGTGGAGGTTTAGGTGGTGGCGGAGGCTTTGGAAAAGGTGGTGGTATAGGGGGTGGAATTGGCAAAGGCGGAGGTTTTGGTGGGGGAATTGGAAAAGGTGGTGGCATTGGAGGAGGAATAGGCAAAGGTGGAGGCTTTGGCGGTGGTGGTGGATTCGGTGGCGGTGGTGGTGCTGGTGGTTGATTTGGCGGAGGGTCTGGAGGTGGATTTGGCGGAGGATCTGGAGGTGGATTTGGCGGCGGCGGTGGAGCAGGTGGCGGCGGTGGAATCGGACACCCCTGAGCATTGTAGACGTTGCATGCATGACAAACTTATATTTCAACGTCCTCTTTGCATTAGCCATGATGATTGGTATAGAAAATATTGTCCGAGTGAAAGAGAATTATTTGCTCTTTTGGTTATTATAATATTTATGTACTACTCCTCGTTTTCTTTTATACTTAATGTTAAATGAAAGCATGAGAGTGATCTTTACTCTCTTTTTTTTTTCTGTCTTCCATAAGAACAAGAAATGACAGGTACTTTCAAGCGTTGCAATATCTTATGCATAGTGTGATAATATTAAAAAGAAAATAATATTTTGATCATAAATTTGTTACATTTATTTAATGTTATTAATTTTATTTTTAAATACAAAAAATTTATTCTTTTATAACTATTTAATCTTTATATTATATGTCAATTAAATAAAAGAATATGTCAATATCAGTATTTTTAATGAAACAAACTCATTCGTTGTGACTTTTATCGTAGCATGCTATTGTTAAATAATTTAAATTTAATTTTACGATTAAATTCTTGAAATTTCTAACTTTTTTGAAGAATGTGATATATAGATTTATTATCCTTTATTGTCATTCGTTCTAAACAAAGTAATTTTTATGTTACCTATCATGCATATTTTTATATTTTACTTTTTTAATCTCTTTCAGTAGGTATACAATTGGTGTCAAAACATTATTTTGAACAAATAAGTTTTATAGCTCACCGTTAATTTCTGAGCAAGATAGATGGGATAAATTGGCTATAAGCTTTGAATCTTATTGTGAAAAAAAGGTGAGCATGCATATATATAATATTTGATTGCTCGTCATTTTACCGTACGTATGGAAGGACCAACACCAACATGATGACAATATTATTCTGGAGAAATTATTACGGTGCAGTGAAAGACATAACTAGGTAAAATAACTCATTCAAAAGAGATGTGTTCAGAACTGATGACATTTATCAATTAATAACAAAATTTTATACACAAATTTTATTGAACAAGATAACATGATTGAGGATACAATTTGAACACTTTGATTAGGTGAAACTATTTCACATTTTAAAAAGTTTTAAACTATTTCTGATATATGTGATTGGTTGCCAAAATCTAAAAAAGAGAGTCAAACATCTTCGTATATATAGGGTTATTATTTTTATTATTCTCGCACTACTTGTTTCCAATTATCACTGCAAAACAATCCTTTTGTAGATATGAAGTAATATATATTGTCAAGACTGCAGTTCATAATAAGATGAAATTCTGGATTTTTAAGTGATTGTGAAATAGTTAAGAAAAAAAAAGTTGAACAATTTAGTAAAGATTCAGTAATAGTTTACATTAAACATATCTATTTTAATTGATGATTAATGTAATTAAATTGAATCCTCATATTATAGAAGATTTGTATAAAATTTATATGTGTATATGTAGTTTATGATTCATGGACATATATTAAGTGAGTGGATAACTAAAAAATAAAAATGAATTTTAGTTTCATCTCTGCGTATGAATAATCTATGAGCCTTTTTCTTTCTAGTAGATTGGAATTTCATCATTTTACTATGTAAATTATGTGTCTTTGCTATAATAATAAAAAGGTGTGGAAGAGAGTGAGGATTTGGTCCTGATAATTAACTTGATTTTAAATTATTTAAGTGATATAAATTAAAGAAAATATATAGCATATGAAACAGACATGCCTGTATACCTGTAGAGAAGTATGATTATGGAAAAGATGTTTGTATAGGAGTAATTTGCCATACGAATTCTGTCAGTGCTGACTTTAGAAATGAGGTGCACAACACATAAACCACTTTTTCTTGTTGTCGCAATATTGAAAAGGGAGACATTTATTATTGGACTTTATATAGTTAACTGTATACCTAATAAATTTGGGAAGTCATCTTCACATTCCAAATAAAACCTACACTAATTATCATTACAATACCTACAAAAAACACCACTATCCTCATTAACTTAATACCATATTCATTCTTAATATAATTATTATTTTATAAAATGACAGACCCTGTAACATAATATCAAATACTCTTATTCTTTCTTTTACGTATTTTTAATTGAAATCACAAATAAAATGACGGACCGTGTAACATAATTGAAATCACAAATTCGAAATCTGGTGAACACTTTTGATTAAGGCTTTACGGAATTTTGAAATTCGAAAATCTAATGAAATCTTGTTCGAATTCTGAACCTTGTTATAATCTTGTACATCCTTTACCAGTTTTCAAATCCGATTGAAACAATCATAATCCCATTTCGAACAAAACAACACATATCTATACACTCCGAATACATTCTAAATCTTAAATGAAAATAACAACATATTTGAAGGAAAACAGAATACAATGTATATCAAGTAGGGATCATAATTGGGTTGGACACGAATAGTGTTTACTCGCAACCCGACCTGTAAGATAAAATTGTATCCACTATCTGACTCGCTACTTGTACGAGTATCTGTTTAAAAAATACTCATAAGTATTTTAAAATCTGCGGATACCCACATATACTCACAAAAAAAAATATTTTATACATTTTTCAAATAAAATTATAAAAAATATATATAATATAATATAAATTAAATATAAATTTAATTCAATTTTAATTAAATTTAATCTAATAAAATATAATTTTATTTTATTTTTAATTAAATTTAATCTAATAAAATATATTTTTATTTTATTTTTAATTAAATTTAATTAAAATATAAAAACTAATATTTTTATTATTTTTTGTGGGTAACAATTACCTACAAATTGGATAGTATATTATTTGTATCCCATCCGTTTAGAAACACATGTTAAAATATCCACTGTACATCCGCAAAATAATAAAAGTTCATGCAGACAGCGGCCTAAAGATTGTAAAGTCTAAAAAAAACACTCCTATAGTTATATTTTGTTTTGCATAGCATTTATGCCTGCCAAAAGTTTAAAAGAAAATGCTAGCCAATGGGCTCAACAAGGCCCAAACATAGAACGAGACATAAATACCTAACCAATGATACTAATGAAAGTGCAAATTAGATGTTAAATTTGGTCATCAAAGCCCTTATAACACGAAAACGAAGGTGTGTTTCAGCTTGTCCTCACATAAACTGCAAGTGCGTAAATTATGTTAGAATATCTGCATGTTTCAAAAGTTTTCTTCATAAATACACACAGTATTCACATTTTGGAATATATTTGCACAGAAACAAAAAACAAAATCATATTTTAATTCGTAATGGATTCTACTGTTTATGTTTTATTTCTCACCAAAAGTCTCCTCGGATTTGTTTGATTTAAGACTAGAAATGAGTGAGTGAAAAAGAAAAAGAAAATAAAAAGAGAATGAAGAGCACAATTGTTTAGATTGGAGAAATATGAAAAGTAAAGAAAATTTAATAAAATAATAATACGATATAATTAATTTTAAAAAGTTGTAAATTAATATGTTTATGAAATGATTAAAGTGTTTTTATTGCTATAAATTTAATTTAACTAAAAATTAAATAATAATAATTTCGTTATTTATTTATTTTAAAATAAAGAAAAGTGATTCAGTTACTTACTTTATCAAATAATTAAATCAATTAATTTTTATTTATTGAAAGATAAACTTAAAATATGACATTAAACAGTACAATAATTATCAGAACTATTAATTTCAGCAGAGAGAGTGGAAGCCAGATGTAGGTGTGAGAGTTTAGAAATTTAGAAAGTTGAAGACATGTGCGTGTAGTTGAGTGGCCGATCAATTTTTGACGGTAGTATATAAAGAAAAATTTTAAAATCTGGTGCCACTCTCTGCATGCAGCTCATCTTTCTAAAATTCTGAAACCTTCTTTTCTCCTCCTTCTCTCTAGTTTCTCTCTAAAATTATCCTCTTTCTCTACAAATTCTCATCTCTTTCTACTTCTGATCAACAATCAGGCCACGCCTGAGCTTCACTTGTATCAAGAGCTTTCATTTGCACCGATCGAGTTATTGTTTTGAGTTGGTAAGTTCATTCTCTTTCTAAGAAAAATTGGTTCCGGGCACATGCAAGCCAAAGTTCTGGTTGCATGTGTTCATCAGCTTCATCTTCACAAATCTTGATCATGTTTTGGTCTTTTAATTGATCTTTCCTTATTATTCGGTGGTTTATAGGAATTCTAGAAAGGATGGTGTTGGGTGGACGTATTTTGTTGTTGATTAAGTAGTTTTTCTGTTAAAAAGGTAAGGGGAGCTTGTATAATTTAATTATGATTCTCTGTTTTTTGAATGGTTGTATGTTTGAATGATACTTTGTTTGATTATTTGATGGATATGAAATGTTGGTGTTACTGCATGTTTGTCTGTATGGATTGATGATTGATAAATGGCGTGAACTGGGTAGGAATAGGGTCTGATCATAATTCTGCAATATTTTGCATAATTATTACTTGTAATAGAGAGTCATTCATAACCGCTCGGTCTTGTGTTCATATTCAAGTGAATATAGCGTTCGGTCTAAGTATAATTTTCTTTTTCCACTCATAAGTTAGCCTAGATAAAAGTATTCACTTCAGTTGAGCCCTCAGTATTATAATTGTAATTAGTTTGTAATTTGGGTTCAGTAACTTCAATGATCGGTTCTACTTATACATTTTGTACAAGTTTAGAGTGTTCGGTCTTAACTGAGTTCTACTTTTGTGGATTCTTAGTTAATAACCGCTCGGTCTTGTGTTGATATTCAAGTGAATATAGCAGTCGGTCTAAACATAACATTTGATTGTAAACAACGTTCGTTCTATCATAGGCTTTAACTGTTATTGACCGCTCAGTCATATACTGTCTTGGTAGTGCTCGATCTGTTACCAGCACTCGGTATCAGAAATGCTTGGTCTTGTACTCGCATTCGGTCTCTTCGTAGTACTCAGTCTTGTTCTTATATCTTATTTCAATAGAGTTCGGCCTAAGTCTTTATTGTTCTGTTTTAGTCTTAGAATCCTGTTGTAATGGTGTTCAACTTCAAAGACGTTCGGCTCATGCTTGAGTTTCACTTTATACATGACCGTTCGGTCATGTTCACCTATAGGGAACAATATCATGTTCTATCTTCTTCATAGGAGTTGTTAAGCTCTTTCGTTCGATTGTACTCGATGTTGATGATTTTTTTTTATGTTCAGTCTAATTTTACTTAAATATATTATGGATGAGGATGTATGTTGGTATTATATTTCAAGTTGGTATGGAAGAGAATTCCAAGGAGGAATGTCTCGGTGAATGGTTATTGAAGTGATAAAG